ATAAATAGAACTGAGTCACAAATTCAGGTGGTCTGCCTCCACATTTAGTGTTCTTCAACTCTACACTAGATATGATGAATTGGAATTTTTCAAATCACATAACTTTTCAGTCAACAAACATTTGTGGCATTGTTTACTGACTTGTCTGGGCTCCCACAGCTTTTTTTTTTTTTTTTTAATACTTTTTGTAGCATCTAACATACTCAGTGAAATCATTTGTCTATGTCTGCTTCTCTTGCTAAACTGTGAGCTCAATAAGGGAAAAGACCATGTTTGAAATCTCTATTTCACACATGGCATTATTAACCTAGGAAATGGCATATTTCTTGAATTGGCCATGGGACAACCTTCTGCTATTTGCTCTGGAGTGGGGTACACATGTGAAAAAACACAGTTCCCAACATCAGAGGAAGGAATATATATTATTTTCTAGTCTCTGAGGTGTCCAGACATTGGAAAAATGGCCATTCACCATAAGGCAGAGTGAATTGAGACCTATAATTATGGTCTCACAGTATATTTCTGGAACCTCAGAGAAAGGATCAATTAATTCTCAATAAACCTGAAATAAAATGTTTTGGGTAATATTGCTATGAAATGTAATGTAAAATAACACCACCACTCAATGCAATTTAGCTTTAGTTCCATTTTAGCCACTTGCTTGGACATTTTGGCACTTGGACATTAGCCCTGGACTTGGAAAAAAGACAAACTATATACTTCATTGAGGTTAGGCAGACACAAGGTTGAATCCAATCCCTACCAATTATAGGCTATCTGACTCTAAACTTCAGTTTTCTTTTTTGCTTCCTCAGTTTTCTGAACTGCTGAAAGAGATATAATACCGTATTTTTCGGACCATAAGACGCACTTTTTTCCCCCCAGAAGTGGGGGGAAAAAGTCCCTGCGTCTTATGGTCCAAATATAGCCTACACATATACTTTAAAAAAAAGTTTTTTTACTTGCCCGGCTCTGTGTGGTCTCTGTGTGCTTGCCCAGCTCTAAAATGGTTCTAAATGCTGCTGTTTACTTTACAGGGTTGATTACATGTGTTTATGACTGTGATGTTGGGTTTTAATGCACATAAAATATTATAGGACACTATTTGTTTCAGAATCTTTTTTTCTTCATTTCCCTTCTCTAAAAACTGGTGCGTCTTATGGTCCGGAGCATCTTATGGTCCGAAAAATACAGTACCTACCTGGTAGAGTTGTTGTGATGATCCAGTGACTTAAGACAAGTAAAACTATTAGCATATTTAGTAGGTACTCAATAAATAGCAGTTTCCTTTCACTTTAAACAATTGACAATAAATATTTTTGTTTTCTGGCACACTGACCACCAGGGAGCAGCTCCTGTATTGAGCATCTGCCCCCTGGTGGTTGCACTTACTTATTTTGAAAGGCAATTTATTATCAAGAAAAATAATTGAAAATATACTTAAGGGTGTTACACAGGTAAGTTGCAGCCTTAAAAATGCTGCCTAACAATCTAGGTCCAAATTGAGCAACAACATCACATATATCAAACATAGGACTTCTATAAAGAATAAGCAAAAAACACAGCTCAAAAAGAAGACAAATACTCCCCTTAACCAAAGTTACAAAGATTTGATAGACACTTTTAAAAAATGTATTTTTATTGATTTCAGAGGGGAAGGGAGAGGGAGAGAGAGATAGAAACATCAATGATGAGAATCATTAATAGGCTGCCTCCTGCAGGCCCCCTATTTGGGATGAAACCTGCAACCTGAGCATGTGCCCTGACTAGGAATTGAACCATGATCTCCTGGTTTGTAGATCAATGCTCAACCACTGAGCAACACTGGCTAGGCTGAACAGACACTTCTTTCAGAAAGTTATATGGATGGTCAGTAAGCACATGAGAATATGCTACATTATTAATCACCAGGGAAATGCAAATTAAAACTCTTATAATCTTAAACACTCATTAGATTTGTTATACTTTAAAAGACTGACCATATGAAATGTTTGCAAGGATGTGGGACAACTGGACCTACTATTCTTTGCTAGTGAGATTGCAAAATGGTCCAAACACCTTGGAAAATAGTGTGTCAGATTGTTAAAAGTTTAAATATATGCCTACTATATGACCCAGTCATTACACATTCTATATAATAAAAGGCTAATATGCAAATTGACCGAACCGCAGAATGACCGATCACTATGATGCACACTGACCACTAGGGGGCAGATACTCAATGCAGGAGCTGCCCCCTGGTGGTCAGTGTGCTTCCAAAAGGGGAGTGCTACTCAGCCAGAAGCCAGAGTAATGGCTGGTGAGAACAGCAGCAGTAGCCTCTCCCTCATCCATGATAGTCAGACATTCCCCAAGGGCTCCCAGACTGCAAGAGGGCACAGGCCAGACTGAGGGACCTCCTCTCCCAGTGCACAAATTTTGTTTACCAGGCCTCTAGTCTAAGATAAATGGCAATAAATGTTCACATAAAGACATGAATGTTTATAGTAACTTTTTTAAATTCCTTATTGTTTAAAGTATTACATATAGTATTACATATGTCTCTTTCTACTCCTTCCCCATTGACCTCTCTAGCCATACCCAATCCCCAGTACATTCCCTAACCCTCCTAGAGTCTATATCCATTGGATATGCTTATATGCATGCATACAAGTCCTTCAGTTGCTCTCTTATTTCCCCCAATCCTCTGCCTTCCCTCTGAAGTTTGACATGTTCGATGCTTCTCTGTCTCTGGATCTGTTTTTGTTCATAAGTTTATGTTCATTATATTCCACACATGAGTATGATCATGTAATGTTTATCTTTCTCTGACTGGCTTATATCACTTAGCATAATGTTCTCCAATTCCATCCATGTTGTTGCAAATGGTAAGAACTACTTTTTTCACCGCAGCATAGTATTCCATTGTGTAGATGTACCATCATTTTTTAATCCATTCATCTGCTGTTGCGCACTTAGGCTGTTTCCTAATTTTAGCTACTGTAAATTGTGCTGCTATGAACATAGGGGTGCATATGTCCCTTCTAATTGACGTTTCTAGTTTCTTGGGATATATTCCTAGAAGTGGGATCACTGGGTCAAATGTGAATTACATTTTTAGTTTTTTGAGGAAACTCCATACTGTTCTCCACAATGGCTGTACCAGTCTGCATTCCCACCAGCGGTGCACAGGGGTTCCTTTTTATCCACATGTTCTCCAGAACTTGTTGTTTGTTGATTTGTTGGTGATAGCCATTCTGATAGGTGTGATATGGTGTCATTTTGATTAACATCTTTTGCATGATTAGTGATTTTGAGCATTTTTTCATATGTCTCCTCGCATCTCCATAGTAGCTCTTATTTATAATAGCTAGAAATTGGAAACGACACAAATATCCATGAACAGATGAATAGCTAAACAAAATGTGATTATATCCAAACAATGGAATATTTTATTGAAATATAAAGGAATGAACTATTGATGTATGCTATGACAGGCATGTGTCTCAAAATCATTACTTTGAGTGAACAGAACCAGGCATGAAAGAGTATATACTATGTAATTGAATTTATTTTAAAATTGTAGAAAATTTAAGCTGACCTCTAGTGAAAGAAAGCAGATTATTGGTTGCAGGATTGGAGAGACAGATTACAAAGGAACACTAAGAAAGTTTTAGAAGTGATGGATATATGAATTGTTTTCATTGAAGTTATAGTTTCATGTGTGTATATGTGTGTTAAAACTGATGGAATTTAAATATGTGTTGTTTTTATTTTAATTATACTTAATTAAATTATTATATTCAGTTACTGTACTATCTTAAATATCTATTTCTTGCTCATGCAATTGTGCATTGTCTGGTGTTCTGCTGAACTAGGCTGATTCTACTATGTTTCACTTGCGCCTGTAGTGTCTAGGTCTGTTCTAGTTGTCATTCCCCTTGGAATAGTAGCCTACCTAAGCTTAGCTTTGTTTTAATGATGACAGAAAAGGAAGAGATTGAACAAGAACATGAAATGTTTATTAAAACTCCAAACTAAAACCGGTGCTGTATAATCTCAACCCAAATTCAATTGGCTAAAATAAATAATACTGTATATCAATAAAATCAGATATAGATGTAGGTGCTCAATAAGTGTGTATTTGACCAAATTAATCACCAAGCTCCAAATCAATGGGGTGGGAAAATAGGCTTTTTGCACTATATTGGGTAGTAATATTAATAAAAAGTAATTGTAAAAAATGATTCAGTCGAGGCTGGTTTGGCTCAGTGGATAGAGCGTTGGCCTGCGGACTGAAGGGTTCCGGTTTCGATTCTGGTCAAGGGCATGTACTTTGGTTGCGGGCACATCCCCAGTGGGGTGTGTGCAGGAGGCGACTGATCGATGTTCTCTCATCAATGTATCTGGCTTTCTATCTCTCTCCCTTCCTCACCGTAAAAAATCAATAAAATATATTTTAAAAAAATGATTCAATATATCCCAGGTGTGTACTGTGGAAAGCCACATTACATGCATTTTCCCTTCTAAGAGGTAACAACCTGCACCTAATTTTGTGTGTCTTCCAGTTTTGTGCGTACATAAATACTTATATTTTCTTCTTTTACACCAGTAGTTATATACTATACACATTATTTTGTATTTTGCTTTTTATTTTGAAACTGTATATTATATATAGTTTTATTTTTTCCTGTTTTACTGCAGTGTATACCATTTTATATATATATATATATATATATATATATATATATATACACACACACACACACACACACACACACACACATATATATATATATATATATATATGATGGTATACACAGCAGTATATATATGGAATAATTTAATCAGTCCCTTATCAATAGGCATTTGGCTGTTTCTAATAGTTTGTTATTACAGAAAATGCAGCAGTTGGCTTTACGTATATATCAATTTACTCATGTGGAATGTGAAATGTTATTTAGATACATCTGATAACTAATTGAAAAATTCTAATAGCAACCAATTTTATCTTGGTTTAGGTCTTGCCAATAAGGAGATCATGATGAAACCAGAGATGAGCATTCTTGGAGATCAAGTGGTAATCCAGGCTGGTGGAACATTTGACATAACCTGCAGGTAACAATATCAAGGCCCTTGGACTTTTCCTGATTAAAAGACCCATGGTAGGGAGTTCAGAAAAGTTGAGTCTTTGATCACACTCCAAATTTTTTATTTCTTTCACAATAGAGGATAGGTTCTGAAAGGCCAGGTTCCTTGCTACTGGTTTTCGAAAAGTGTACTTCTCTGGGTGGAGCAGGATAGCTTTTCAGCTGGACCCAGGTATCTTTGTCTTTGGCTCCATTATTTATATTATTACCTTTTTCAACATTTCATAAAACTAAGTTGACCATTCAAGTCTTTAATATGCCAAAATTTATGTTAATTCTCTTGGCAAGTATCTGCTCTTAACTAGTCTGTTTATAGTAATGCCAATAGCACACAGTATGTGCCCCTGTAGACTCTCCTTTGTAGTGGTTACATTTTTGAACTCTTAAATAGTACCTATTTCCTTGATATCTACAGTGTCACATTTCTTTCATTTGTTGTTGTGTTGTTGTTTTTTTGTGTGTGTGTGCGTGTTTTATTTTTTATTGATTAAGGTATTACAAATGTGTGGTTATGCCCCCATTGCCCCCTCACCCCCAATTCTGCCCTCACTCTCTATTGTCTGCATCCATTGGTTATGCTTATAGGCATGCATACAAGTCTCTTATATCTCTCCCCCTTACCCCCACCCTCCCATACCTTCCCTCTGAGGTTTGAGCATCTGATCGATGCTTTTCTACCTCTGGATTTGTTCTGTTCATCGAATTATGTTGTTCATTATAATCCACAAATGAGTGAGATCATGTGATATTTATCTTTCTCTGACTTATTTCATTTAGCATAAGGCTCTCCAGCTCCATCCATGCTGTTGCAAATGGTAGGAGTTCCTTTCCTTCTTTCTTTCTTTCTTTCTTTCTTTCTTTCTTTCTTTCTTTCTTTCTTTCTTTCTTTCTTTCTTCTTTCTTCCTTTCTTTATATATATATATATATATATATATATATATATATATATATATATATGTTGATTTTTTACAGAGAGGAAGGGAGAGGGATCGAGAGTTAGAAATATCGATGAGAGAGTAACATCCATCAGCTGCCTCTTGTACACTCCCTACTGGGGATGTGCCCACAACCAATGTATACATGCCCTCAATCGGAATCGAACCCAGGACCCCTCAGTCTGCAGACCGCAGCTCTATCCACTGAGCCAAACCGGTTTCGGCAGGAAAATTCTTTAAAAATAAAACTACCATATGATGTAGCAATCTCACTTCTGGGTATTTATCCAAAGAAAACAGAAACACTAATTTAAATTTATATATATATATATATATATATATATATATATATATATATATATGTAATTTATTTATTTATTTTTAAATAAAATCTTGTCGAAACCGGTTTGGCTCAGTGGATAGAGCGACAGTCTGCGGACTGAAGGGTCCCAGGTTCGATTCTGGTCAAGGGCATGTACATTGGTTGTGGTCACATCCGCAGCAGGGGGTGTGCAGGAGGCAGCTGGTCCATGTTTCTCTCTCATCGACATTTCTAGCTCCCTATCCCTCTTCCTTCCTCTCTGTGGAAAATCAATAAAATATATATAAATAAATAAATAAAATCTTGGCATTTACATCAACATGGGTAAAACTAGACAGTATTATATTAAGTGAAATAAGTCAGGCAGAGAAAGAAAAATACAATATGTTTTCACTTATTTGTAGAATCTAAGAAGACTAAACAAATAAACAAAACAGAAACAGACCCATAGATGCAGAGAGGATATTTATGGTGCCAGAGGGGTTGGCGGGATGGGTGAAAAAAGTGAAAGAGAATAAGAGGTACAAACCTCCAGTTATAAAAAAATTAATGGGGATATAATGTATAGCATAAGGAAAATTAATTATCTATTTCCAAATATAATCACATTCTGAGGTTCTGTGGGTTAGTACTTCAACATATTAATTTGTGGGGGCACAATTCAATCTGTACACACCTTCTTTTAGGCTGTCTGGTTTTGAGGCCACATAGTTTATTTGAAGACCCCAGAATGAAGCTGGACATACCATAAAGAGATCATTATTCAAATAGGAACAGAGACTCCAGTAGTAGGTAGTGGGCAGTAAATGTATGGTGCAAGGGCCAGAGCATAAGGAGTTAGAATGTGGGCAGAATCTATACTGTTGTTCTCTAATTCCTGATCTTGCTGTCTATAACTCCCCATTTTATTTTTTAATAGTCTTAATCAGAAGCATGGTAACATATTATCTTTTCAAAAATGGTTTAAAATGCATTGCTTTTGAAAAATTTACTCAAGGTGAGCAATGGCTTCCCATACAACTTTATGGTTTACCTTCTCTTCACTTCAGTGAATTTATGCGTCATGATAAACAGTGTTCTAACAAATGTATGAATGCTGGAGATAATATATGATATGGAGAAGGGTATATGTCTTTGACATGAGAACAGGAGTCAAATCTGACTTAATCCTGCCCCCAATTTCCATTGTCTTCCACTTATCTTAAGGGCTGGAATTCTAGTAACTGAACAATGGTAAGTGCTGAGACTTAATATGCAGGTTCTTTTGTCCTCCATTTTTTTAAATTATTGTCCCACAGATTCTTGTTATGAGAAAATGGGAGGAGGAGAAAATAATCGTTATTGAGACGAAGATATAGAGTCCTATTGTTTTGTCTGTACATGGAAGATATACAATAAATTTAAACTTAATTTTGTCCCTGGTTCCACAAAATGCAGGGAGAGGTAATCCAGCCACATGTCTTTTAACAACTCATTTGCCCAAAAAAAGCCTTATAAATTCCATGAAGCAAGAAGGTATAATTGAAACATAGAAACCTAGACTAGGACCTAGTACATATGACTTTGAGTTTGGGTCCTGCCAACAACATTCTGGGCAAAGCCCTTCACCTCCTCCCTGAGTGTGGTGTTCTCATTTTTCAAGTATAAGCAACAAATCGAGAAGGGATCTCAACTAACTCAGTATTTCCCTCTGCCTTTAGATGTTTAATGTTAAATATTCCCAAGCCAATGCATTGATGAAGAGAACTGAACTGGGTGTATAGCTTGAGTAGATGAGAAGATATTGGGGAGACAAGGAGCAGGAAAAAAAAACACCCTTAACTCACTGTTTCAGCTTCTCATGCCCATAGCTAGGTATTCTAATCCTTTTTCCCCCTTGGGAACTAAATTTTATAACTCTTCCTTCAGAAATCAAATTGGGAGCTGGAGCAACATTACTTCTTCACTGCCACTACCATACCTGATTCAGCATTTTTGTTTTTTTGTATTGTGTTTTCAGGGGATTGGCTGCCATTACCTGGACCTGGGGCACTGGGTCTGCAGGGAGTCGGGCCCGCATCTTGGAACATCCCTGCTCTGATAACCCCCTTGTTACTTGCAACCAGCTCACCATCTTCCACACAGAAGCTAGTGACACTGGATACTTCACATGTAGCTACAAGGATATCGCTGACATCAAGGATCCTAATGGCAAGACCAGTGTGTATGTGTATGTCAAAGGTGAGTGAGTGCCTCCTGCTTTGGGACTGAAATGTTTTGCATTCTTTTGTGAATGTCTAGATATATAAAACTCCAGGTAAGCTTGGAATAAGTTGGAGTGTTTTCCTGAAGACAGTAGGGCAAAAATAGGCCTTATGCTTTGAAATTTTGTTAATGATATCTAGTTTTACTATTAGCCCACTTTTTTTTTTTTTTTACAAAGATGATGTTTTTGATCTCTGACCACATGAGACAAGAAAAATAATATTATTCGCTCAAAATTCAAGTAGTTACCAGTGGTATGTGAAAGGAAGTGGCTGTGGAGAGGCAGATGTCACTGACAAGCTACAGGCAAGCTTTGTTTGGTCTTCCTCAACCTCCAGATGACCAGAAAGGCTCTTATCATTTGAATTTCCTTTCTCAAACTTCTCTGACTTGAGACTATAGTGCTAGGAGCTGGATTATTGCTCCTTTTGGATTATTATTTTCTCTTGAGAGCACAGTGTGTGCCTTTCAGAAATCTGGTTTTTGTTTTTTTGGTTTTTTTTTGGTTTTTTTTTTTTTTTTTTTTTTTTCTCCTCTTATATACCCCATCTCTCTCTGAGCCATATTTTCACTTTCTTATAAATTAATTGGCAGCCAATCTCTATAAAGCAGCAAGGTTGGCTCTGAAGAAAACCTAAATACCAACCCACAGTCCTTCTGGGCTTCCAAAGACATAGATTAAGAAGGTCTAAAGGACTATAAAATTAAGGCTTTTCATAAGCATTAGAGGTGATATGTATAAAATCATTCAATGCAATGCCTTACAATTACTAGGCATTGCATAAAACATATGAAAACATTTGTAAACCCTATGTTGTCATGCAAGAGAAATGATGGAGCAACCTCCACTGCTCTATGATAAATCCCAGGAAAAGGTGGGAGTGGGGTAATAGGTATTGAAAGGGAAATGGTACAATAAATAAATATTATCATCCAGGAATGTTTAAGGCTCAGGGTGCATACCAGCCTTCCAGAAGACCAGGATGTTGACAAGAAGATAGGCTGAAATAAAATTTGGGAGGCCCTAGAGTGCTAGAGAAAGGAATTAGGGTCCCATTCTTTGCTTGCCAACTCTTAATCCTCACTACTTCAAACTGGGATAAAGATTGAAATCTTGTTATCTTGAGCTCCTCACTCAGATTTGGAATTGAATATGAAGCTCTTGAGATTTTATTCAGATCATAAAGATGAAAGCTCTTCTTAGAGATGTTGTTTTCCATGAACTTCCCTTTTGTGGGCTTTTCAGAAATGTTTACATCCTCATTCTTCCAACTCTCAACCCAAATGATCCCCATCCTGATCTGAGACATCATGCTGCTGATCCAAATAGGGGGAAATGTGAGGATAAGCCCCGGGATATGCAAGACCCTTTTGACTTGGCTTGCATTCTGAGAGCTGGAGTCTTAAAATAATTACCAGGAATGAGGCTTTGTGATATGAAATTTTAAATATTTTTAAAATTTAAGTACAATCCTACCTAATAAAAGAGTAATATGCAAATTAACCATCATGCTGCTACACCCACAAGCCACACCCACCAGCAATGCCCACCAGCCAATCAGAGCAAGTATGCAAATAAACCCAACCAAGATGGCTACCAGGAGGGAGGCTTGGGTTTCCTCAGCAACAGAGGAAGCCAAGCTTTCCACATACCCTGGCTGGTCCAGGCCTCCACTCATGGTTACCAAGTTTCAATTACAGAAGGTAAACAAATCCAAATAAAAATGGCTGCTGGCCACAGAGCGAGCAGGAGGCTTGGCTCTGCTCCAGGCTACAAAGTTTCAATTGTAGAAAATAAATAAATCCCAGATACCAGGGCCTCTGCTTCGGTCGCTGGGGGATGTGGCAGGCTGCAAATCATCACAGGCCCCTGGCCCAGGCCACCCCACAACCCAAATGATCCCCATCCTGATCTGGGACACCCTTCGGGGAAAACCAGCCGGCCACCACCAATGCACCAGGCCTCTATCCTACCTAATAAAAGAGTAATATGCAGATTGACCATCACTCCAACACACAATATGGCTGCCCCTATATGGACAAAGATCCTGCCCCCATGTGGACACAAGATGGCCACCACAAGATAGCTAGCAGGGGAGGGCAGTTGGGAGGCACCAGGCCTGCAAGGGAGGGCAGATGGGTGTGATCAACCCTGCAGGGGAGGGCAGTTAGGGGTGAACAGGCTGGTAGAGGAGAGAATTTGGGGGCAAACAGGCTGGCAGGGGAGCAGTTAGATATCAATCAGGCTGGCATGGGAGTGGTTAGGGTGATCAGGTTGGCAGGCAGAAGCGATTAGGGGCAATCAGGAAGGCAGGCAGACGAGCAGTTGGGAGCCAGCAGTCCTGGATTGTGAGAGGGATGTCTGACTGCCCTAAACCGGCAGTTGGACATCCCTCGAAGGTTCCCAGATTGGAGAGGGTGCAAGCTGGGCTGGGGGACATCGCCCCCACCCCTGTGCACAAAATTCCTCTAGTTTAGGGGTGTCGAACTCAATCAGAGAAGGGGCCAAAATCTAAAATCCAGCCTAAATCGCGGGCCAAATGGTTTACTGAACAGTCATAAACTGTCATTGTGATGGAAACGCAGCGGAGTGCAGTGATGACAGCGCGGTGCGGGCCACATTGCAAGGCCTGGCGGGACGGATTTGGCCCGCGGGCCTTGTGTTTGACACATGTGCTCTAGTTGATATATAATATAACATAGGTTATATTAGTTTTAAATATACAATATATTGATTTGACATTTACATACCTTACAATGTGATTGCCCCACTAATTCTAGGAATCATCTGTCACTGCAAAATTATCAGAGTATTATTGACTGCATCCACTTCCTTTTTTTTTCTATTCCCTACCTTCTGATAACTATCCCTTTGGTCTGTTTCTAAAGGTCTGTTTTTGTTTTCTTTTGTTTATTCCTTTGTTTTGGTTTGGATTTAGATTTCCCATATAAGTGAAACAATACAGCGTTTGTTTGTCTTGCCTGACTTATTTCATTTAGCATAATACCTTCTAGATCCATCCAAGTTGATACAAATGGCAAGATTTCGATTTTTTTTTATTACTGTGTAATGTCTCATTGCATGTCACATCTTATTTATCCATTCATAATTCTTTGGACACCAAGATTTCTTCCATATCTTAGTTGTTGTAAATAATGCTTCAATGAATGTAGAGGCATTTATAACTTTTCAAATTAGTGTTCTCATCATCTTTGGATATATACCAAAGAAATATAGAGTTGCTAGATTTAATGGTATATCCACTTTTGAAGATTTTTAAAAAATATATCATTTTTTAAAAACATCATTTGTTGATTATAGCCATGCTTGCAAGTGTAAGGTGATACCTTGTTGTCATTTTAATTTTCATCTCTCTGATGACTAGCGACTTTGAGCATTTTTTTCATGTCTCTTGTCTGTCCACTTTGGAGAAGTGTCTATTTAGGTTCTTTCCCAATTTTTTAATTAGATTGTATGGTGTCCTTTTGTTAACTTGTATAAATTCCCAACTTCCTCCTCTGCTGGCCTGGTCACCCCTAACTGCCCTCTATGTTGTTTATTTCCGCTCTAATTTTTACTATTTCCTTCCTTCTACTTACACTGGGCTTTTCTTGTTGCTCTATTTCTAACTCTTTCAGTTGTAGAGTTAGATAATTTGTTACCATTTTTTCTTATTTTTTGCAATAGGCTTGCAGAGATATGAACTTCCCTCTCAAAATTGCTTTTGCTGTGTCCCATAGATTTTGGATTGTTGTGTTTTCATTGTCGTTTGTTTCCAGGATGTTTTGAATTTCTTCCTTGATTTCTCTGATAACCCAGTCCTTGTTTTATAGCATGCTGTTTAATCTCCAAGTGTTTGATTTCTTTGGATTTTTTTTTATTGTAGTTAATTTCCAGTTTTATGCCACTATGAACTGAGAAGATACTTGATATGATTTCTATCTTCTTGAATTTGAAGAGACTTTGCCTATGTCCCAACATGTGGTCTATCTTTGAGAATGTCCCATGTGCACTTGAGAAGAAAGTATATTCTGTGGCTTTGGGGTGGAATGTTCTGACAATGTCAATTAATTCCATCTGGTCTAATGTGTCATTTAGGATTGATATTTCTTTGCTGATTTTTTGTTTAGATGATTTGTCCAAAGGTGATGGTGGGGTATTAAAATCTCCTACTATGATTGTATTACTATTAATCTCTCCCTTAATGTCCTCCAGTAGTTTTTTTTTTTTTTTTTTTTTTTTATGTATTTGGGTGCTCCTGTATTGGGTGCATATATGTTTAACAGGGTTATTTCTTCTTGTTGGATTGCTCCCTTTAGTATTATGAAGTGGCCTTCATTATCTCTTGTTATGTCCTTCACTTTGAGGTCTAATTTGTCAGATATAAGTATTGCTACCCCAGCTTTTTTTTTCATTTCCATTAACCTTGAAAACCTTTTTTCCATCCCTTCACCCTCAGTCTGTGTGCATCTTTTTTTCTGAAGTGAGTTTCTTGTAGAAAACAGATATATGGGTCTTGTTTTCTTATCCAATCTGTTACCCTATGTCTTTTGATTGGAGCATTTAATCCATTTACATTTACAGTTATTATTGATAGGTATTTATTTGACTCAATTTTTATTCTATACCCCTGTGTTCCTTCTTTGCTTCCTATTTCTTTATTTTTACAGTAGACCCTTTAGCATTTCTTGCATTGCTGGTTTGGTGGAGATAAATTTCTTCAGTCTATTTTTGTCTGTGAAGCTCCTGATTTCATCTTCAATTTTGATTGATAGCCTTGCTGGGTGCAGTATTCTTGGATTCAGACCCTTCCTTTGCATGACTTTGTATATTTCATCCCATTCCCTTCTGGCCTGATGAGTTTCTGTGGAGAAATCAGTTGCTAGTCTGATGGGGGTTCCTTTATATGTAACTTTCTGTCTCTCTCTGCTGCATTTAAGATTCTTATTTTGTTGTTGGTGTTTGCCAGTTTAAT